AGAATTCGTTGATTTTCTTTGTAGTGCTCCAATTCTCTTCCTGGGGCTTAGTACAATACTTATAAATAGGAAACTCATCAATGCAAATTTTAAATATCATTTACAAAATTAAATAATTATTGGCTTAATATTTATGAAGTTATCAAGACTACACAAGTAAAGTTGGCTTTCATTATTAGAAACAAGACCAAAGCGGTGGTAAAATTGATATTTCTTTTTCTCATTTGTGGACCCACTAAGCTGTTATTCGAGAATTTGTAAGGTTAATAAGAAAAAGAAATCCCTAAAAATGAGAAAGAGAAACACAACTCTTCTCTACTGTTCCTTCCATGTGAAGCGAACACGTCCTGATCCAATAGGTGCAAATATTTGTTATCAAAATTTCATGTGTTCAAAGAATTCTCGGTCACCTAATAAGTAATATGATCATTTTTTTTCCCTTCACAGTCTGAATGAGAGAGAAGACATGTAGCATCATCTGTTGAATGCTACACAAAGCAATACGGAGTGTCAGAGCAAGAGGCATACGATGAATTGAATAAACAAGTGGATTAGGCGTGGAAAGATTTAAACCGAGAGCTCCTTAAGCCAACAGTTAATGTGCCTAAGCCTAGTCCTAATTCGAGTTCTTAATTTTTCAAGAGTAATGGATCTCCTCTACAAGGACAGTGATGGCTACACACATGTTGGGAAAGTTACTAAAGAGGCTGTCACTGCATTGCTTATAGATTCAATTTCCTTACGAGTCTGATCAAAAAATGAATAAAGGTCCAAGAAAGTCTCTTCTGTTTTTTTTTTTTTTTTTTTTTTTTTTTTTTATATATAAATGGGAATTCCATTGAAAAAAAAAACACACACAAGTTTAAAAAGGGATTAACACTCGTATGCGGATTAAAAATGTAATAATACGCGGATCCTGTTACTAGTTGGTAAAAGAAAATATTGAAGAGCGATAGTCATCCAAGGGGCTACCAACAAAAGAACAGGCGACACTCAGGGTTGGAGCAAGAGCAAATTATAATTTTTCAAAAATTTATTTTGCCAAGCAGTCGTACGATTCACACGTGTTTAAAATTGTTAACAAATGGCATTTTTATTAAGGGAAATACTAAAGTTGTAACATATGAAAAGTTTATGAGACTAGTTTGTACCAACTGCAACTTTCAAGGGCTAAATTTGAAATACCCTTAAAAATACAAAGGGCCCGTTTGTTTGCGTTTTCATTTTCATTTTTCACGGTTTTCAAAGCAAAAAAATGAAAACGGGTGTTAAAAACGTGTTTGGTGCAATTTTTTTTAAAAAACAAAACCAAAAACGTTTTTGTCTTTTTGTGGAAATCAGAAAACGAAAAAAATGTGTTTTCATTTTCTTGTTTTCGTTTTCTGTTTTCTAAAAAACGGATTTCACTTTTTTTTTTCTTTTTCATTTTCTTCCCTCTTTTCTGAAACTGTTTTTGTATTATATATGTTTATTTAATATATTTATTTAATATATTATTATTTAATATATTTAATAATATTATTTATATAATATATTTAATAATATTATTTATTTAATATATTATTATTTAATATATTTAATAATATTATTTAATATATTTAATAATGTTATTTATTTAATATATTTAATAATGTTATTTATTTAATATATTTAATAATGTTATTTATTTAATATATTATTATTTAATATATTTAATAATATTATTTATTTAATATATTTAATAAT